GGCCCGGGCCCGGCATGGATGGCCGCGACTTCGCGCCGCCGCCTCATCTGCTTTCAGAGCGCGGGAGCCTGGGCCACCGCAGCGCCGCCGCCGCCGCGCGTCTCGCTCCGGCCGGGCCCGCCACTCAGCCCCCCGCGCATTTCCAGCCCGGGAAGTACTTCCCATCGCCGCTGCCCATGGCTTCACACACAGGTCAGTGTCCCGTCTGGGCGGGTGCGGGACGGAAGGCTCAGAGGGAGTGGGATCGTTCGAGTTCGAGAGTCGAATGGGTGTCCGCCCCTCCGCTCCTCCGAGCAGCTCGCGAAGCTTTGGTTTCATTTCCCTGCCCTCCGCCGAGAGGGCCACGAGTCCGGCTAGTTCAGGAGCTGGGTCCTCAGTTTACAGCGTCCTTTTCCGGGGTCTCCCCCGGGGTCTTCGAGAGAGGGCAGCCCGCTAGCCCGATAAAAATAAAGCCTTCCGCTTCTGGGCACCCTCCCCCACCCCTTCCTGCACAACTAAATTCCGCGGAAACCTCTTTTCTGCATTCTGCATTCACCTCCTTGGGACGCTCTGGGGCTGGGACAGCGAAGAGCTTTCTGCGGAACAAAACGGCTGTGTAGCTGGGGGAGGGGGCCTGGGCGCGCCTGGCCCGCGGATTAGGGCGGTGTGCGCGGGGCGAGCGCTAATGGGGACTGCTGGTGTAAGACGATCAAATCCTGTTTCTATATAAAGCCTTGAAGTGTCAGGGCGAGAATGGGTTTGCAGGGGATGCATTTGCTTTAACAAGTGCCTCTGGTATCCCGCTAAAGCCGGACAAAGCGTGGCCAGAGTGCGGCCAGCTGAGCAGCCCGCGCCCGTGGAGGGCAGCCGCGCCGCGCCGCGCTACGCTGGGGATTTCGGTGCAGGCGAGTGCGCGCGGCGAGTTTGCGCCAAGAGGAGAGAACCTAGGGCGGCACTGGTGCAGCCGGGCGGGGCGTCCACGCTTCTGTCCCTTGCCAGAGCCCACAGGCCTTTGGAGACCCCGGGTCGCCGATATTAAAGACCAGGGAGGACGTAGGGGAAGGGCGTTGGAGCTCCGCGCCTCACTCCACGGAGGTCACTGGCCCTCTCCTGCGGAGTTTGTGAAAGTGCTAGGGGCTGCTTAGGGGACACTCAGGGTCACCACACAGGGAGGCTTGCTTTTGTTTACAGTTTGTTCTAAACATCAGAAATGTTGTTTGCTGATTTAAAAAAAAATTGGCAGTAACAGTTATTATTGTAGCTTGATGAACTGTGAATACTAATAAAATTATATCTGCTTTAATGGGATTACAATTAGTGTGTGGATTAAAACGGATGGCAGAGATGGGGCTAGAAGGGAAACGTCGGAAGGGAGGGCAGTCAAAAAGCAAAACGTACATTTCCTTAAAAAAAAAAAATCTCGAAATTGCTTAATTACTAACGGGCTTCCAGCATTAACAGCCAGAGGATATTCAAAGCTGCGGGCTCAGGGCTCCCTGCCGGGTCAGCCTGGCACTGGCCACTTGCTGTCCTGCTAGAGCCTTCCTCCAGGCTGCCCTTTTCTCTCCTTTCTCTTCTTTCTTTCTCTCCCTTTTCCTTCCTCTAGATTTATAACTGGAAAGAGAAAAAGGACTCGCCTGAGCAATTGGTGATTTAAAAACACCTTCCTGCTGTCCCTGTGGTTACTAAGTGTCCCTTCCTGCCCCTGTGCTGAGATACTGTCCACCCAGCTCAGGCCCACTGGGGCAGCTAGAGAGGGGATTGTGGTGAAGGAAGGACAGTTCCCCAGCTTTCCTACCAGCCCCTGCTTCTGGCTGCAGGCTGTGGCCCCTGCTGGGGGGTGGGGAGGCTGAACCTTGGGGATGGGGGATGGGAAGGGAGCATTTGCCCTCCCCCTCCAATATGCAGTGCCCTCTAGCCTGGCAGGTCACAGTACCAGAGAGGACAGGCCCCTGACACCAAGGCTTTCATAGCAGCGCCCAGGTCAGTCCAGGCTGTGAAGCCTGGGGAGACCAGGCTACTCCCTGTTCCCCATCACTTCAGGTCACTGCTGCTTCCTGACCCCATCTACCAACCCACAGCCTGGCCATCTCCTGGTCAGCCGCCATTTCCCCTTCCTGCCCTTATTTCCAGACCTAGGCAACACCCAGTCAGGTGGGAGTGTGGTGGGGTGGCCTGGACCTTTGTCTTGCTCATTCTAAGTTTAACCACGTGGTTCTTGGAGTGCAGGCTGCAGAGGGTTGTGAGAGATTGCACTGGGCCTGCTGGCCTGTGTCCTGTGTTGTCTGTTGCCGTTGCTTGACCCCAAATCCTTCTTGCGTCCCCCATGCACAGGGGGGTGGGGGGGCCCTAGAGGGCGCTGGAGGTCTCTCAGGGCTTCCTTTTTAGGGGCTAGAGGGCCACATGTCCGCTGTTCCTGGAGGCCCAGTTTCCACTCCTTTGGGGACTGGAGGGACCAATTGTGCTTGGAGATGTCCGACCTGTTTGTGGTGGGAAGCCTGGCTGTGCAGCGTGCAGCCAAACTCGCAGTCGCCGAGAGCCCGGATATGGTGCTGGTTTAAAAATTTCGATACTTGTATTTTTAGAAAAGGAGTTACACTCGGTATCCCTTTGCTTTACTCTTCATCTACATAGCATCTAGGAGGGGAAAAAAATGTGTAATGAAGTTACACAATTTGTTTTTGCATCTCATGTGTGGATTTCCAAATGGCCAGTTTGGTGGACTTTCTTCCGCTTCCTTGGGTGGCCCCGTTCTGCAGGCCAGGGATGCAGCAGCCCAGCCCGCTCTCCCTGCACCAGCCGCACAGGAAGATGAAAAATGCTGGGGAAGTGTGCCCAGCTCCCCCTGGCAGAGAGTTCAGCCATCAGGGACGCAGGCCTTGCCTCCGCTGGTCTGCCTTCCCCCCGTGCCTGGCCTGGCAGGGCCACGCAGGCTGGACTGAGGGTCTCCCGGCTGTCTACCTTCCTCCCTTCCCACTCAGCACTTTCACGTTGTCAGCCTGCGGGACTCCAGGGGGATACTGGGCTGTTGGGCTCCTTCCCTTGTTTTTCCAAACATGAAAGTGCTGGTGGCTTTACCCTCAGGCTGTAGGGTTTTATGGTAAAGTGCTGTTCCAGTCACCTTGTCACCAAGAGTGCAATTAAAATGTTTGGAACCATTATTTTTAGTGCAGTGTTAGATTTTGTCTCTAATACAGATGGTCCGGAGGCAAAGCTGTGAAGTGGGGGGAGGGGGGCAAAACAAGGGTAGGGGAGTCAACAAAATCCAACCCAAGATTTCTCAACGGTTACTGCCTGCAGCAATTGGGGACCTCGCCTTTGCTGCACAGAGGGCAGCCCAGGCCCAGGGAGAAACCCAGAGAGCCCTATTTTGCCTTGCCCCTCCCCCTTAAAGCAGGGTAGGCTCCTGTCCTGTCCCCTTGGGCAGGGACTCAGGCATTGGGCTCTTTCACATCTTGGTTTGAATAATCTTGGATTCCCCTCCTGCCCCTTCTCTTGTCTTTGGGGTGTGAATTGCCCAGGCCTGGACAGCCAGGTGCCCTGGGCTGGGGTTGCTCCCCGGAGGTGACCCGCCTGGAAATTAAATAAGTAAAATCAAAACCACCAAAAACCCCGCCTCGCCCCGTAGAGAAAAAAATAATTTCCTAGTGTGAAAAGACCCCATCAAAGGTTCCCCCTTCCTCATCACGTGGGGTGTTTTTTTTTTTTTTTTTGGTAAAGAAAAAAAATACATTTTCGTAAATACCTCATTAACTCTATGACACGATGGAGTGTCTCTGCGGCAGTTACCAACATTAAGTAGGTGTGAAAAGAGCTACTTTCTGAAGCCTCTACCCACCCTGCTCCATCAGTGACAGAGCTAGACAGCAAAGCTGCCACCCTGCCCAGCGGAGCCGCGGGGCTCCGGGAATCTGGCAGCTGAGGACAGGGCCGGCTGCGGTGGCCGCGCCCACCCCGCTGCAGCCGTTTTTGGAATGTGGGTTTTTTCTCCGTGGGGCTGTGCTGCCACCATGTCTGATTATTCCTATAAGGACACCAGGGTGTTCTATAGGAATATCCAGGTCATGTGAGCAATAGAGTGAGTTAGGGAGGGGGGGCAGGGAGTAGCACTGGCACACAGCACCTCTCCCCGAACACATGCACCCCCAAACACTCCACGGTTATTCTTAGAAATCCCCCTCTTCTCCCTGCGAGACAGGGTTCAGCAGCCCGCACAGACAGGACAAAACGCATCGGAGGTTGTTAGAATAACATGGATGAGGCTAAAAATACCCTTCAGAAACACACATAAAAAAGCCAAATCCAACAACAGAACGAGCTAAAAATATTCCAGGCTTTGGCAAAGAGCACAGAGTTAAATAAATTATACAAGAGCCATTCATGGGAGCAAGTTGACTTTCTCTCTTACGGGAACTTGGTTCAAGCTAATAAAAATAATAATTTACTAGCCACTGAGCTTTGCATGAGTTTAAATTTAATTGGTGGGGCTTCTGGCGTTTGTCACTTCTTGGCGATTAGTGGGCTTGCCCTGGCCCAGGGCAGGGTGGGGAGGGGGTGCCGAGGACAGGGTCCCCGGCTGCGGGGGCATTCTCCCTTGAGGAACAGAGCCCAGTGCTAGGGCAAGATGCCCCGGGAGGCCAGAGGAAGAGGAAGACTGCCAGGGGTTCATCGGAAGACAGAGAAGGAACAAGCAAGGTGCGGCTATTTTAATTTGATAAATGATGGTACACCTTTAAGAGTGTGTTTTAACAATCAAGATACACTCCAGCAAGTTGATAGGATGTTCGCTGTCAACTTACATATGTCATCAGAGCAGGCTGTGAGCGTAAATAATGGGCAAGCACTCAGGATGCACGGCAGCCTCTCCTGGAGGCCCAGGCTAGCAGGTAGCACCCAGTCTGTGGGCACCCTCTCCTGTCATGCTCCCCACTCTCTCTCTCTCTGTGTGTGTCTTGCAGCCAAAGGAGAACAGGAATGAGGGACTCGGGACGCTTCTTTCACCTTGGGCAATGTGGTCAGGGTCCCTCCTCCCTGGGGAGTTCCCAGGTCTCACCATCAAAATAAGAGCTTCAGGACTTCTTGTTCAGAAAAACCACTGTGGGCATTATCTGAGGCTAGAATCAGGCAGCAGATGTTTAAATGCAGCTTTTCCCAGGAATCTTAAACTTCCACTCTTTAAATTGGGGTCAGGGTAGTCCCCTTTGCTCTCTCCA